GTCGAGATAAATCGATAATTAAGAAAAATGGTGAATTTGACTTGCGTCACTATGCAATTTGGTTGTTGATATTATCCTGGGAGGTTTCGCAGAATTTTTTCTTCAGAAAATTCAGCTCTTCCTATGCAGTACCTGCTGCGGAAGTTGTATCGATTGAATTGTATTCGTTATAAGCGTCTGATTTCGTCATCCGAGAATTTTCTAGGGTGGACGCTCTGAATACGAAAGTGAGGCATAAATTTGAGTGATGACGGCATGAGCTAAATGTCGCTAGACATCCCGACTGCTATTTTCTGCCTCAATTTCTACACTCATGGAGATTTTTTGAATTTCCAGTAGCGATTGCACTGAATTCTCAACATTCTAATTTTTCATTCAATTTGAGACCAAATGATTCATGAAATTGTGCATTATTCAAGGAAATTCCACAGAATGTAGTTCCTTACACAGTTGAACTTTTAAAAACTTTTAAAAGCGTTTCAAGAATATCCGAAACACTTTAAAATCAATTGATTTATCACTAAAAAAATGCACATAGATTTCATATAAATTTGTCACTGGTGAGAATCGCAGGTGTAACTCCTAGAAATTCCCAGAGTAGTTTTCGTTTTCTTGTTTCTACCGCGACAAGAAACACCAAAATAAGGAAATTTAGACAGAGATTTTCACTATCACATACCTTTTCACCACTCCGCACCTCAAAATACCTCTAGGTTTCTCTGAGATTACCATAATTATGAGGAGTTTCTGATCAACAGAGCGAATGGAACGTGTGTTATCGAATATTTCTCAGCCGAACACTCATGGCATAAGCAATGACAAAAAATAAGTCACGAAGGCCACGTCCCCGGCCTTTTGCCATTGATTATTTCAAGAGCAATTCACGCTTTGAATGAAAGTAAAATTCATCTCCTCGAAACTACTTGGTCACTCTCTTCCACTGACGATTGTGCATTCAAAGAAGCTTTTGACAGAGAAGATTTACTTCACGAAAGAAAATATTCTCTGGTCTCGAGAGAATTTCATAGGGTTCATAAGTCTTTCCGTAAATTTCTGTAGTATGTGGTATGCAAAATTCAATTGATTGTGATTAACATTTAGAAAAATTACACTTGATTGCAATAAATTATTTTCTGCATGCGTCATCTCTGGAAATAAACTGACTAAAAATAAATCATTGAAAAATTTAATTTCAAACACACATTGTCCATGAAAATCAAATACGATTACGTTATAGCTAGATTTTTTGAAAAGCTTTGATTACATAATATCTTGCACAATATGCAGAAAGAAAGATCAATTTTTTATATCCTTGAATTGATAATGAAAATTTATCATGCGATTAACTCAAG